TGGGTTTTCATCCTAGTTCCCCAACTGTAGCAGCATTGCCATTAAGTCAATTTCAACTCTTACCAAGCCTCCCGGGTTCCTAAGACTGTGATTCTCTCCCTCGTGGAGCTGCTGAGCTCATGGCCGGCACCTCAGAACCCGCTCACTGTGACCGTCCAGCCACTTTCAGAGGCTGGTCATCACCCAGAAGAGATGGCTCATCTCTCTCCTAGCAATCGTCTAACGGATTGGAGCTGCTGGCCTTTGGGTTGGCAGGGCAGTGCCTTACCTGCCAGCCATCGGGGCTCCTAATACCTACCTAACATAGAGGAACATGGCCAGAGGTGTTTTGTTTTTCTCTGCAAAGCAGTGATGTGAAAAGCCACTATGTAGCTAAATTATAGACCTACAGATCTCAGCATTTCTTGATTCTGAGGTTATTTTGAGAAGTAAAATGTCAGATTGTAGCGTACTGTATTTAGAAAGAATATAGAATCTAGAGCCTTGACTAGACTAGCTCTGGCGGCATAGGCCATGGGAAGTTGCAGTGCTACCCCACACGCCCTGCCCCTCTGGTGGCTCATATCCACCAGCTGTACTGTGTTCTCGCAGAGTTTACAGCCTCTTAAAGAGGGTCAACTGTGAGTTTCCTTGATGGCAAGGGGTTTAAAATGAGCAGAAACAGATTAGTTTGAAGAGAGAGAGAGTGTGTGTGTGTTCTTCCTAAAGGATGTACTTGGTGCTTTTTGTTTATCTTCCTTTCTCTCAGTAAGTGGTTACTGCTAACCTAGGTTCTGTGATGAAGGGAGAGTGTGTCAGAATAGCGGAAGCAGGGAAGATAGGCGAAGGGCTTTTCTTTCCTCAAGTCCATTGGTTTTGCATATTGCTTGACCCCAGGGGCTTGCTTTGAACAAGATGCTCACGTCCTCACTGCCATCAGCTGACTCCGATTCTGAGGCTGTAAATCCTGACAGAAAGTCCGCTTGTGTTCCACGGAGCCACTGATGATTTCAGTCCCCTGGAGTCCACAGCTCTTGGTTATCGTGACAGACTTCTGACCAGAGCACCCTTGATGATGAGTCACACGAAGCTAAACGTACAGGGTTAGGGAGAAATAATGGAAAGGAGTGGGGATTAGCCTGATGAATTGAGACTGAAATTCTGCATGATGGGGGCCGTTCCTCAGGTGTGGTTTAAATCACTGTTTTTGTGTTGTGTTCACTCCTGTTCATATCAGGGTTTGGTTTTCTCTGCTATTGGATCCATTTCCACCCACAGCAAGCCTGTGTGCACGAGAAGACAGAGCCCTTCTGGTCCTTCCCCAGTCCCACCGTCATTGGTGCTCTGGTGCCCATTGTGGCATCTCCTGAGTCACTGCAGTTCACGGACGGTCTTCCTCTCTTTTCCTGAATCTCCACTCTGCTCATAATGTTCCCCTGACAGCTTGTTCAAAGGGTATGAGACGAGTCTCCCCATTCTTCTAAGGTGAGTTCAGGCTCCGCTTGTTCTACGACATCGATGTTCTTTCTACAGTCCCTGGGATAGTCGGTGTTCTTGACCAGGACCACGCGTCAACATAATCCGCTCCTCTTGAGTCTTCCTTCGTCACTGTCCATCTTTCTTTCCTTGTGAAGCAGTTGACAATAGGTGGGGTGGGTCAGATGCACATTACTCTTCAGAGTGACATCTTCCTGGAGAAGAGGGTCTTCCGCTTTGGAAGATGACAGATTTGTGTCATTGGATTTCCAGACTGCTGCTTCTGAAGTAAAATGTTCAGGTTTTCTGCTTGATCATGATACTGCTTATTGGTGCAGTTATTTTTCTTTATATGGAGGTGAGAAATTACAATAGTTATAGAAAGGCTTCAGGTCTTTTGTTCATAGGGTCACTGTGAGTAATGCTCGACTCGATGGCAATCAACAACAACAATCCACGCTAAAGAACACAGTCTTTGATCTTCATCAGTGAACACTTAAATCCTCTTCACTTTCTGCAAAGAAAGTGTGTCACCTGCATAATGCAGATTGTCAGTGAGTCTTCCTTCAGTCCTGATGCCACATTTTTCCTCTGGTCCAGTTTCTTGACTTCGTTGCTAACTGGTTGAAGGGATAGGTGTGGAAGGCTCCAGCTCTGATCTTCAACTGTGCAGTGGTCTCTGTACAGGTTCCACATGAGCATGGTGTTGTGGAATTCCTGTGCTTCCCAGGTTCATCTGTACTGTCCCCGCGTACCGCTGAATGCACACCTGTGGTAGGTTCTCCGCAGGCTTCTGTTAGCTAGCTGATGAAAATAGATGCATTTGAGGTGGAATGAGCATGGAATCCAGGAGCCCTTAAAGCATCTAGAGTATCTAGGGTGTCTGGACAATTCCTTCAGAGGAGAGGACGCCTACGTGGCCATAAGGGCCAGTCTAGGACATTCTGATTTCATAACGCAGTGACAGGAGCCACATGTCCTCCTGTCGTTTGGGAACACAGACCAGGGATTTCAGCATGAAGGACTAATAGCAAGAATTAGTCAGCCAGGTTTGAGACCTGAAAACTGAGAAAGCACACAGATGTGGGATCAGATTGAGAGATTCCGAGGGCTGCAGTCAGGCCAGGAGACTGAAGAGGTCAAGTGCAGTTAGACGCTGGCAGCTTCAACAGAGCACTTTGCTGAGCTGAGACTTGAGGAGGTCATAGTGACCTTGAATGAAGTGACCTTAGACCGCTAAGGCGGCCAGAGAAAACTGTCCCTGGCTTCTCCCTGCCCCCGCTTGAGTCAGGCAGGAGTCACAGTTCACGGGGACGGCTGTCTCATGGCACTTGTCACTTTCTACCCTTTAGGTTCTGAGGGTCGACTGTGCCTGAACTGGGCCTGTCCCTGCCATCACCTTCGAGGAGCACTAGGGCCCCTTGCGCCTTCTTCGGTGAATTTTGCTGATTAAGATTTATTCCATAGCGCTTGACTGTTTGGTCAGTGGTAAAGGATAAACAATCAACTTTCTTCTCCAAGAGCTTACTTCTGATAACACTAGTGAAGAGTGTGCTTCCTTTAAAAAGAAGTCCTCTAACCCAGGCTCCGGATGACACAGTACAGAAAACGTGCCAGGCAAGGGCCAGCCCTTGCTTTTTCCATGATGGTTGTATGTGACCACATCTAGATAGGAAACATTTCAGTATTTTCAGAGAAGAAGAACACATGAAGGGTTTGGGACTTGAGAGTATTAAAAATGATGAGATGAGCAGTCTATTTTAGGGGGTATTTGGTAAGACCATTTTGTGTGCATTGTTGGAAGGCAGGTACCATTAACAGCCTCACAGATGTTTTGGTAATAAATCAGTTCCTACCAAATAAGGCCATCAGTGAGGAACAGAAAGGGTGAGGTCGGAACACTTAAGACTGGCTGACATTGGAGTGTGCCCATTGTGGAAGTCCAGTTATTAATAGTGCTTTTTGAAACTTGCCTGGCTCGGGGACTGGGCCACATGGGAGCTGCAGACACGGAGCAGTAGGTTGGCAGCGCACAGATTAGAGCCTGCGGGGTTTGGCTGTAACCTGCGGAAGCACACTGCCACATCAGCCCCCTCGGAGCGCTTGGTGGGTCTGAACCATTGATCTTTTCATTGGCAGCCAGACACCAATCACTGCGCCACCAGGGCACCTTTGAAGATGCTAGCACTTGCTCATCTCTGTTTATTTAGGAAGGAAAGGATGTTGATGCAAGAAAGAAGAAATTACATGTTGTCATTTGAATTCTGTTGTCATTCACATTGTTCCTTAGATTATTAAGCATAAGATTCTCTTAGTCAAACTCCACCGTCAAATCTTGCATATTTAAAATCCCAGGTTAGGTTAGATTTTTTGTTTTTAATTGTACCTTGGAATATTTAGCAGAATTATAAATATTGAAGAGGCTGTATTTAGTTAGACTTTGATCTTATTCCATCTTAGGTGTGTTTCTGCATACAGCAGAACTGAGACCCGTTCCATGTCTGTGTTTTTAATTCCATGTCATTGGTCATGTTCTTCACGTTCAGTCACCAGGTTCAGTGATCTTGCCGCACCATGCTTTGCACTTGCTTTCCTGTGGGTAATTGTAGTAGAGCGTAGGTAGGGAGGTGCTGCTGGTGAACGCTCTCTTCTAACGACACTCGGGTTCCATTCAGAGATGACGTTGGAGGCGGCTTGTGGTCGGTTAGATTGATGCAGAGCAGGAGTTTAAAGCCCTGGAAGAATTCTTGACTCTGCGCCTCATCCTGAGTCCTTTGGATCAAGATGTCACCAAGTCCTTGTGCCTTAGTGGTAGCTGGCTGCTGCCCATTCCAGGGTACCGTGGCGATGGAGACAGTCCTTCATGGGCAAGTGTGCCCTGCAGAGCACTTCCCTGTCCAGGTCCAGAATACTGACCTTCCTCCACTGCCCGAGGCAGAGGCCTTTGTCTTGACTTGTCCTCATCACACCTAGGGAGTAGAGCAGGAATTTCAGGAATGATGCCAGGCCAGCTGATGGACAGTAATGTTGCTGTCATGACTACAGTCATGACCCCAGACCTTGGAACCATGAGGTATTTGGTTACGCCCAAGCAGGAGCAAAAACCGCAGCTCTTTTTTTGAGGGGTAGGACAGACTTGCCAGTACTACTATCAAATGATACATAAATCATTTCTACATCTGCCGTTTCCCTTTTGTCTGCTGTACAACTCAGTGACAGTGGACACATCTGTGAGATTGTGTTAGCACTGCCACCTGTCCCTCACCCTAGACCCTTGTCCAACTACTTCTCTGGATTGAAAGCGAGGCTCTTGGGGGCGTTTCTGTAAACTGCTGCAGTTCACCTGAAGTTTTTTTCAAATAGAGATGCAGTTGTTTGAGCACATCTGGAGTGTTGGCGCAGTGTGGCCATGCGTCACTGGCAGAATGTGCCAATCAGGGGTCAGGACCAAAGTCACGTGGCACGTGCTGTAAAGACTGTGTGTGGGTAGAACTCCGTGTCTGAACTCCCTCGAGGCTCACGGTGGTTCTGTTTTCTGTCTGTAGGCAGAAGGAGAAGACAGCCTTAAGAAGATGCAGCTGATGGAGCTCGCGATTCTCAACGGCACTTATCGAGATGCCAACATTAAATCACGTAAGAGTCCATGAGGCCCAGCGTCTCCCTGGGCTCAGCTGTTTTGTCTCCAGACTTCTCTCCCTTTGCCAGCACAGCATGGGAAGGGTTAAGCCACTCTGAGGAGTTGAATTGTCTGCCCTAATAACAGAGCTCACGCCATTGCATTTGCTGTACGCCCGCATGTCGAGCTCTGGCTTTGTCATTTTTATTCTTTCGATGAAATTTCAACCTCTTAAGTGTTAGAGTTTCAGGAAATTTCATATTCTGCTATCTGCAAAAGATGTAAAGCTTCCAGTTTAGTCTTTTACATTTATGCAAAAGATGGGAGATTTTGGAAGCCTTTCTTGAGAGCTCATTTGGAGTGTGCAGCCATTGCCGCTTCCCCGCGAGCAGCTGCCTTCTGCCCACGTGTCCCCGTGTCCCCGTGGGGCTTTTCCAGGTCCATCGCACACACCAGAGCACAGAGAAGAGATCCCACACGCACAAGTCAGAGTGACGTGTGCACAGAACTGGGGAAACCATGCTCTTCCTGGTCACTTAAAATCAAATGATGTAGAATTGGTACTTTGACCATGTAAAGTATGTGCGTATCATTTATATAAACGTACTAACATTATACTCAGTGAGGCTTTAAAGATAGACTTTTCCAGTGTGGGCCAACTTTCTAAAAGAGTTGATGGGCATTTACTTATTCCTGGGAGTTGAGCATACCCTCAGGAGTTGTGCGTTTGGAGGGGACCACATCCGTTGTTTCCTATAAAGATGTTTGTTGTTGTGTGTACCGTGGAGTCCTCACGGACTCTGGTGGGTTGTCAGAGGCCGTGTTGCCCATCTTTGTTCTGCAGAGCAGCGCGTGGATGGAATTGCATGCCTTGGCATTGGCCGCTCAGCTTCTAACTCCTCGGTCTCCAGAGCTCCCCTCTAAGCAGTAGTTCTGAGCATGCAGGACACTGAGCGCTGGCTCACAGAGTGCAGGGAAAGCAGTTCTTCCTTGGAAGCCAAGGCTGCTCTTCTGGGGTCTGCCAGAACTGAGCTTCTGTGGACTCTGTCCCAGAGGACACTCACTGTCTTTCCGTGCGAGTGTTTCCTTGTACTTTATGCCTGCCCCTCAGGCCTCCCAGACGTGGGTGAGCCACGTGTGTACCTGGATGCAGCCTGGGGGTGCGATGGAATTCATGCCCCACAGGGACGTTTTGGTTTTGCATGTTGGCTCGATGGCGTGGGGAGAGGGAGGCGTGCGCATCTGGTTGGTGTGCTTTGCGTCTGGTGTGACGAGCGCATGTACTAATGGTTTCCTTTTGTTTTTCTTCCTTCCTGCTTTTCCCTCCCTCTTTCCTCCTGCCCTCTCATGCTCCCGTGTTTTACACCACTGTCTCTGCACTTCCTTCTAAATCTCTTTGCTTACTCTAGCAGCCCTTGCCTTTTCTCTTGCAGCGACAGCCCAGGCTGCTCCAAGGATTATCACTGGGCCTGCGCCTGTGCTCCCACCAGCTGCCCTGCGCACCCCGACGCCAGCTGGCCCGACCATAATGCCTTTGATCAGACAAATACAGACCGCTGTCATGCCAAACGGAACTCCTCATCCAACTGCTGCAATAGTTCCTCCAGGACCCGAAGCTGGTTTAATTTACACGCCCTATGAATACCCCTACACGTTGGCACCAGCTACTTCAATTCTTGAGTATCCTATTGAACCTAGTGGTGTATTAGGTAAGTTATTCTCCCTCCACAGTAACAAGACAGCCCTTGGTAATTGCTTCCCCAGACATTGACATGAGCATGTCCATATCAGAGGCTGCCCCTGAGGAAAGGCTGAAGACTAGGTTTGATCTGACTCTTAAAGAGTCACGTTGTTCAGACGCATTTGGCCATGTCCTGGTTGATTTTCCCAGTGAGCAGTGCTGAGGTCACGATGGGCTTACATCAGCCCATCCTCTTCACCCCAGAAACCTAACCCAAGCCCCTTGCTGCCCAGTCCGTTCTGACTCCCAACAGTTCTGTTGGAGCAAGTAGAGTCATCCCTGCACTCTGAGTCTGCAGGGAATAGACCACCCTGCCCTCCCACGGAAGCACTGACCTCACACCGTGCCACCAGGGCTGCTTCCCTGCAGCGCCACCACCTGAAGTTAGTGAGAGTCTCTCTCCAAGATTTACTTAGCTGTTGTCTGCATTCGTGAAACTGACCTTGAAGTTTCTTTACATTGAAGGCTCTTCCTCTTTGAAACCCTGGTGGACAGCCCTAGGAGGCCCCTAGGCGTCAGGAGCAGAGTGAGGACTGGTGAGGCCGGCCGCCAGTGTAGGTGAAAGTGCAGGTGGCCCGAGGAATACTAGGGTTGCCGTGCGTGAGCCGATTGGTGTGATGGAAGACGTTACCAATGCCTTTTCTTTATAGAGTGGATTGACATGCCAGTCATGCCCGATATTTCAGCCCATTGACTTGCTGGAGGAAGGACTAGAAGGCAGAGCCGTTAGCACGACCAGGCCGTGGGCGCACTGCCACACCCTCTGCCTCACCACACAGAATCCGAATCATTTCCCCCGAATTGTATATGACCTTGGTGCTGCGTGCATGCTGTTTACTTTAGGACTTGGAACATCCCCCCCAGCATTAATAACTGATTTATAAAAGTTGGAAAGTCTTTAATGAACCTGGACACTAAGCTATAAATGCAAAGATCCATTGTCAAATTCAATAAAGCCACGATGCTCTGTATGTTATCTGTGTGTGCATGCACCCAGGTGCCTCTTGTCTTAGGAACAAATACATTTGATTGTACGTGTTTGCCTTTCATCACTAAATCATTGTGTAAAAGTGACTGCAGGGCGCAGCCCACCACAGAACTGTCTACGAGACGCTTATTTCTGTTGCACGTTCTCGAAGCATTTAAAAAAAAAATAACCTGTAACTCATAACCTTGATGAGCGTGTCCTATTAATCCTCTGTCCTGTGACCCGCATGCCCCCCACCCCCAGCACTCCTGCACCCATCTGCTGCTGAGGAGTTTGTGGCCTGGGCTGCCCTGTCCTGCAGGGTGTGACCCTTCCCGGCAAGACCTCCCTGGTCTGGCCACGGGCATCTCTGCTTGTCTGTGATCCTGTAACCCTGGAGAGGGGTGGGGCCGTTTACTGCTTAGCGACAGTGCAGACACTGCAGCAAAATGGCTCCTTTTAAGCCAGTGTGGTTTGTGTTTCACTGGTAAATTTTTACCTCTAAAAGCTTAATTCTTGAACTGACCAAGTCAAAAGCACAATGTGCAAATATCTGATTGGCCTTCGTTTGGTTAATAGTGATGAGCACTAAGTAGGGGAGAGATGATTTGATTTTCATTCTCACTTTGCCACCTAAGCAGTAAAGCATGACATTGACCTCCCAGAGAACTGAGGCAATGACCTTGAACAGCTCCATGCAGTAAGTTTGCACACAGATAACATGCATGTTCTCTATCAATTCTCATGTGGAATTTGATTCAAGTAAGCAGTGCCCTTCAAAACAGATGCAGACATGTGTGTTGGGGTAGTGAGGAGACTGGCGAGCATCAAGTCTTCACTGATGACTAATTTTTAATTCCCTTCCTTTTATCTTTAGGTATGGCTTTCCCAACGAAAGGCTAAGAATTCAAGAACGGTCTTAACTGAACCCTCATCAGATCTGAATTTAACAAATGCTTAGTCTCAGCAAGCTCCGGGGATAAAGCCTAACCTAGCAGTCAGTGACTTACTTGCACTTTTTGCACATAGATATAAAGGAACATGACCTTATTAATTTGGTTTTGTCTGTGAAATGCCACAGTAGCTGTCCTTGATGAAGGAGTGTACAGTAGTGTGCTGACTGCTAAGGGTACTCTACGTTTGCTTTACTAATCACCTAATTCATTGCAGTTCATGCCCATTGACTCGGAGTTTAAAAACACAAGCTATAGGCTTTGAGAATTGCTTTTAAACTTTTGTAAGTGATAAACTCTGGAAGTAGTCTTAAGGTTAGCAAATAATTGTCAGCATTCAACACGGCATTATTTAAGGAGCCTGCTCACGAGAGACACTTCAGTGAATAAGTGACTAGTAAAGCTGAGTGGGCGGAGTGGAGGGCACCACGTTCTGGAGTTGGGATCGTGGCTGAACGATGGCGTAGGTTAAGGCCAGGATGGTGCAAACGAATGCAATATTAATAGATGCACATAATACGCGACAGATTATGGTTAATTTTAAAACTACTGTGCCTTAACGTGTTTCCTAAAACCAACTTTTGTAGTAAATGAACATTTGAAATCCATTTTGATAAACCTGCTGTTAATGTTTTTTGTTTTGTTCTGTTTTCTCCCTTGTGAATGTTTCTAACTTTGTCTTGGTAATTGCAATTTAACTAGGTGCGGTGGCTACTAAAGTTCGAAGGCACGATATGCGCGTCCATCCTTACCAAAGGATTGTGACCGCAGACCGAGGTCAGTTTAGTTCTGCAGTTCTTGTTTGTAAGACATGCCTTGGGTGTCCATAAGGTTTGCAAAACCACATGGGGGGGAATGCAATAATTTGCTTACCTGCACATCATTTCTTTTCTCCTTAAATGTGTCTGTTACAATTGAAAGATTCAAGTGTGGGTTTTTATTTTTCAATTTTTTTTCTTTGCTCCCTTCGTATTTTAACTTAATTAAATTCTGTGTTAGTATGTACCAAGATTTATTCCTACTAAAACATAAATCAGTCAGTTTGGGGAGCTGCTAAATTTTGATATTAATTATTTTTCAGTAATTTTCTGTTCAAATTTACCTTTGAATTATTCTAAAGTTTGAGGTTGACATTGCAAAATGAACTGAACGGATGGTGCTTTAATGAGCGAAGTGGAGGGACATATGCCTCCTGTGTCCTTTTGGGAGAACTAAAGGTCTGGTTTCCACTCCTTAATCCCGCTGCACATGCAGTCGAGGGCTCAGCCAAGGTCAGCAAAGGAAGGACTGTGAAGCCAGCTCTGTTAGTGGGAATTTTAAAAAATTACAGATGTGAAAGTCAGTTCCCTTACAGTCTTACATTCTCTTGCCAAAATGGATCCTTTGATTTTTGTCATTTGCTGCTAAACTCTCTTTATGTGAAGGTAAAAATCTCTTGGAAGTTTGGTGGTGGAGCTATTTGTAGATCTCTCTGGGCTAACCTGTGGCTGGAAAATGAGTCTTCATTTTTCTCTTTTTTACCATTTATAATCTGTCCTATATAAACACCCGTGGACCCTTCTTTAAATTATTATGGGTTTTTTTTTGTTTTGTTTTTGTTTTTTTTTTTTAGGAGTGATGTTTTCGGTTTATTGACATTGACTTGCTTTCTAAGTTTGGTTCTAGGCCCCTTCTTTATTTCCCCCCTTTTAAATTGCAAGATAGGAGTCCCAAGCAAGATAGTAAAATGTTTTTATTTTAAAAAGTCTATTCTAGAGCACATTTGACTTAGCACATTGATGAATGAACTTCCCTTACTAGTGACAGGGGTCGGTGGTAGGGTTGAACACACCACGCAAGTGTACCGCCTTCTCTGGACTTAGAAAGGCTTGTCTGCTTCACAGTAGAACCTTACAGTTGATCATGAGCATGTGACACAGCAGCTGTCGTCTGCATGCCACTGGCCTGGCCCTCACAGCTAGGGGACGGCACCTCCAGCCCACGCGCCCTGCCAGCTCATGTGCCCCGCGGCCTTAGATCCTGGGAGACCAGGCCTGAGCGCACCCTTACCCGTAGTGACCATAGTGAACAGAAGAAACCTCAGACTCTGTGGGCAGCCAGGAAGTCAGCTGCTCCTCATTGGAATTGGGCACGTCTGCGTGCCTGCCTTCAGCCATCACGCTCTCTGGGCTTGAACTGGAGGATTTTGTGAGTCGTTCGCAGCTTCATTTGTACTGTTACTAGAAAACAGTTATAAAGGACTGTTTTGGAGTAGCTTTTACGGTGCTCCTCTCCCCCGGTAAGGCCCCACATGCACTTGCCCTTCAGGTGATCGCTCACGATTTCACTTTTACACAGTAATGACTGGCCTGCTCAGTACCCCGTGCCTTGAAATCACTGCAGAGAGTGGAGGAAGGAAATTCCTGTATTTGGAAAAGACCACACATTCCCATCCCGTACTTAGCTCCCTGTATTTATGTGTTCTGGTGGTCCTATCACTGTTTTTTTATTCAGAATGCAATGTCAGCAAACCGAAATGGAAATTTGTTTTGTTTCCTTTTCTAAGCAACTGGCTACATGTACTGCTGTAAGGGGTACTGTGTGCATTCCCTGGGTCTAAGGGGACGTCTGCAGTCCTTCCCTTAAATTATTTTATGATACTACTGTGTTCTTTATTTTTGAGGGTTCTTTTTGTTGTTGATATTTTGAAGAAAAGATTGATGCACGCATTCTTTCACTGCAAGGAGACAGCTCGTGAACATCCAACTATATAATTTTCTGTGAGCGTGGTTGGCAAACACCTCACTCTTTGCTAAAACTAAATGCATCTCTGCACATACTTTAAAACTGAATTGGAAGGCCGTGTAAGACCACCTGACTTCAGCTCTCAGGAGCTGCGTGTGGTTTTGCACGACTGACACACCTGTGCGCACACAGACCGTTGGCTGTGAGAGTCGGCTCTTCAGAGAGTACATTCTGCGTGTGAGGCCATGTGTGCACACCAGTTGTTTTGTCTAAAGACTACACACACAATTGGAATAACAGTTCTCCAAAAACCATCCTTGACAGAATTCGTATAAGCAGTGTAATAACACCATGTTCACAGTCATGTAAGGAAAATGCTTGACAGCTCTGTTTCTGGCGTACTTTCATAGGGGCCTAGGGACACCGTGCTCGATATTTATTTGCCTCTGATTTTGGAACAGCAGTTTTTATTTTGAAGAAAATTCCACTAGTTTTTAAGACATTCAGGGAAGTTAAGGTCACATTGAAGATTTTTGGGTAGGGTTTCTAGAATCCCCAGAAGGCTCTCCTGAAGAGGCCCCACTGTCCTTGTGAAGGCCCATCAGTCCATGGCAGAGCCCTCTGCATTCTGCGCCCGGGAGCTTTGCCGTGTCGAGCGGCACACAGCCTGACTTTGCACTGACCGTCTTTTCCCCTTCTTCTCCTCTGCCTTAGTCACAGTGGCAAGTACAAAAATTCATCAAACCTCAGACTAGAGTAGAAATAATTAAGCTGTTGAATGAGTCTTAAAAATCATACTACTGTTAAGTGGACCAAGTTTGGTGAAGCAGAATGTGACAGGTTGGTTAAGGAAGGAACAACTCAAGGACTTGGGGATGGAAACTTTTCCACTTGAGAACTACTTTGTTTTACTGTAATTTTTTTTTTTTGTTCTATTTGTTATTTTGCAAAAGAAAATAGTATTTACAGGTGGCTTCTTTTAAAATATAAAATTATAAAGCAGGAATGTATATGAAGTGTCAGATTTTATTGTATTTGCAGAGTATTAGCTTTGAAATTGAATAAAGAAAGCTGTTTGTAGTTTCAAATTGCCTTATTGGTATCAATTAGAAATTTCTTCTATTTTTTGATGTACTTAGAGCTTTTTGAGTATAGACTTTTAAATGGCAGGATTTTACAGTGTTTACATGCAAGTGCATTTTATAAGTGTTCTATATGTGTAAAATAGTATTTTCAACTGGAAAATGCTGGCTGGAGCGGAAGGCCTGGCTCTTTCTGGTTCCCATGACGTCTCTACTGTTAGATGCCAGTTTAGTACTGCTTTGTATCATGAGGCCAAGAATCCCCATGTTGTTTGTAAATAGAATAATTGAAAAAAAGCAATAAACGTTTATTGAACAAAAGAAACCTCGTTTGGGCCAGAGTTTGTGTTGAACGAGAGTGCTCCTAGAAGTGGACATTTCTCTGGTTCCTTTCTGCTCGTCAGTTATTGGTAGTCTCTCCCGTTGGTAGACGCTTCGATGCTTGCCTCTGAGAGGGCCTCATAACTGCACTGACTGGCCACGCTCCGGAGCCCGGGCCTCGGGGCCCTTCCCGTCCCTCCATTGACTGCTACTAACTATTAGTTGTTAGCGTATTTATTTCTATTTTTCCTGTTAACCGGATGTTTGGGTTTGTTTTTTTCTCCATTTGTATTTGTTTTTGGTGGGGTAGTGGGCTCTCCTTCATTGTTCAAATCATGATATGCTGTTGTCATGATTTTCATTGTATTCTGTAGATGGTGTCAGATCAATTTGTCAGAATTAAACATGCTTTTTTTTTTTTAATTAGTTGTGATTAGTTTTTCATGTTGTCATTAAGCCGTCACTAGCTGAAACTAATCTCTTCTCTATCTTTTCTTTCTTTTTTGTTTTGTTTTTTTTTTGTTTCTAACCACCCAGCCGCCACCGGCAACTAACCTATGACCTTCTGACCTCTGAACTCTTCACCCAATGATGACCTGACCATGCCTGCCTGCTGATCAGTTAACTGGTAATCGCCTTTGCTTGCCTGTCGTCATGCAGCGAGCTGAGGCACTTGTCCGTTCGTCTCACCATCTAACCAAACAAAAGACAAAGAAATTGTTGTCCTTCAACTCAGCTTTTTTTTTTTTCTCTCCCCCTCCCCCCCTTTTTTTTTTTTCTCCTTTCTTCTTTTTTTCCTGTTTGGGTGAAAGTGGTTCTAGAACCTGCACTGAATAGTAGTAAAGCAATAAGGCCCGATTCATCCCACCACACTGGCCATCTCCACACCCCACCCTAGCGAACGGGGGAGGCCTCCCTCGGCAGGGGAGACAGATGGTCCCAAACTACTCAGTGACAGAGGCAGTTACTGTGAGAGACTTCCGGAACCTTCCTCCTCGGAGCGAGTCCCAGCTCTCTGAATGTACTGTGGTGATGCGTCACGCATGCACCTTTGGTCAGGGATGTCATTGGGGAAGCGGTGTCAAAAGTATTCACAACGGGATGCGCTCTTAGTCACTACAGTGCCCTCAGGGCTAGACGGTGCAGCCTTTTTTCTATTGCCTGCCAAAATTTGAAGTATTAGAAGAAGTGTGCCATGAGAGAGACAGTCACGGGGATTTTAACAAGTAATGCAAAGAACAAAACTGCAACACTATTTTTAAAGAGAAAAAAAAAAGAAGTAAATCTCTGAGTTAAAATTACTGAAACTTTTGTTTTACACCTCCTTAAAAAAAAAAAGTTGTATGAGAACAAGGTCCGTGCATAATGTGTCACATTACTGGGCAAACTGTTCAAATCTCTTTTGGAAACCTCCCTGTATAGAAAAAAAAATCATTAAGGATGTAAAAGCCATGCTTGCCTATTTGCTGTGTACATGTAATGAAATTGTAGATAAAGTGTAGTGCATTGAAGCAAATGAACAACAGTAGATACTTTTACTATACAAGGGTGCTGGTGCAGAAAACAAATATATATATTTTTGGAAATGTAGCATTTTATACTTTCAAGTGTTATAAAAAAAGAAAAAAAGAAAAAAGAACAAAGAAACCCTTTATTTCATTAAATGATTTTTTCTGGTGGTTGTCAAGAAACAAAAGACCAAAAGAGCCTTTTTGTCTTTCTTTTTTTATTTTTTAAGTATTGGAATAAGTCTAAAGAAAAGAAAGTGCCTTATTTTTCTCCATGGTCATTTAGTCCCGTGTCCAGCCGGGCGGTCCCCGCGGACGCCGCAGTGCACGTCGCTCAGTCCCCAGGTGTGAGGAGAGGGCGGCGGGCACGAGTTGATGGTTCGGCTCGGACAGTTGTCGGCCACGTCACCTTGATGCAAATTTGCCAAATCTGCTACTGTGAACAAAATTTGATAACTTTTTCTAATGCCTGAAGAGTCCGTTTTAAAGTCTCACCTTGCACACTCCTCACAGATTTTTGTTGTCATCCTTCATTGTGAGCCCAGAGGATGCGGAGGTCAGACTGCAGAGCCATGCTGAGCGAACGAGCGTTTTTCTGTCACTCAGAAAAGCAGGGGGGTCTTGGATCTTTTTTTCTCCCTTATTAATTGGTGGTAATAGCATGTACTGACTAATCTTTTCACATGAAGGAATCTTTATGATTCTCATTCTGAAAGAATGTTGACCCAAATTCAATCGAACTTCTTTGTTCTGTACCAGATCACTCCCCCAAAGTCCACCTCCTTGGTAGTTTTGTCCACTTGCCCCTGCCCCCTTTCCCTGCTTTCTTAACTTTCCAAAACGTGTGGAGAACTTAGCATCAGTATGACTATAAGGATCACCTGCGTGGCGGGCAGGCCTCCATCCTCGTGAAGGTGGGGTGCTTGGTGGTGCAGGGGAAGCAGTTGGTGATGGCTACCACCCACTGTCCCACACCTAAGTCACTGATCCTTACCTGCTCAGTACCAGACGTGGCAAATCTCAAGTGACAGGGGCTTCCCAGCTCATCAGCTCGGTCCCTCTGACATCCCCTCACAGCTTCCAAGTCCAAGGTCAGCAGTACGCTCACCGGGCACCTCCGCACGTGGTGGCCTCTGCCGTCGCCTCGTCTCTCTTGGAAACCGTCTTGAGGTTCTTTACTATGCAATAGACATTCATGGTGGTGTAGTCTGCTGGCTTTGGGAAACGTGCCACTGCTTCGTCTTCCTGTTACACAGACAGCTGTTC